TCAGTCAACTTGATAACAACCACTTTGATGATGGGACCACTATTCCAGAATCGTATGGAAGCATTCCCACATTATTGAAGTTGTAAGTGCTTGCTATAATCCTATCCTGTTAAGTAGATTTAGAAGGTAGAGGTGAGGAGCTAGGTGTTAGCATCTTATTGCTAATATTTTACATGAAATACATGACTACATTTGAAAGGAAGAAAGCATAGTAATGTATTGTTTATGAAATAGAAAACTAAAATTAGACACAAAGCATTGGTTCATAAATAACTGAATACAGAACTATGAAATTTTTCTGAAGCAATATTTAATTGGCAAGAGAAACTGATAAAACTTAGAAAGATAATTTCCAGAGGGTAATTTGCTTTGCTTACGTGACTAGGATGGGATGGAATTATTAAAACCACGAATTCCCATGCTATGCCAAAATAGAAATATATTTTATGCACCTATCTCAAGTCTCATATGTTATGGACCTCCATTACTGTACTCTTGAGAAGAAAAATAACACATAGCTTACCCTAATAATTTTTTCTTTTGTTTTGTATTTTTTTATTTTTTCTATCTATATATATATATATATATATTACTGAAGATGATTATTTGGAAGCATGGACTCGAAGGTTTGTAGAAATTTGTTATGCTGAAACTCTTTGTTGCTTTATTAGGAGTCTCAGGAATTGCAACTTGCAAGGATCAATCCCTGACCTAAGTGGGATACCCAACCTTGGTTATCTGTAAGTTCATATGTTTATTCTTTATAAATCATTTATGATGGAATGGTTTTCCAGTTAGAGAATTATATTTCAATGTAACTGCTATATCTTCTTTTCATGATTTTGGCTGTACAAACTTCAGGGACCTGAGTTCAAACCATCTAAGTGGACCCATTCCTACTAATAAGCTTTCAAAGAATATCACAACCATGTAAGATTCTCTTTCTTTCAATCTACAATTTTTTTGGTTGTTGTGCTTCCTTTTAAGATTTTGAGAATACTTTAGATTACCATACTGGTGATTTCCTTCAATTTTGACATTTATGGTCTGGATATATGTGCAGCAATTTATCCAACAATGAGCTTAATGGAACTATTCCTGCCAGCTTTTCGGGTCTACCTCTTCTCCAGAAACTGTGAGCATTTTCTGCTTGGTCTCCTCTAATTTGTTTCTTGTCTTTGTGAACACTACAAATTAAGTTAGTAGTTAATCACATCGTGGTATATTTAACTGTAAAATTAACTAAATGGATTTAAAAGTGTTAGATAATCCTCTTGGCAGGATACTTGCAAATAATTCATTGAATGGCTCGATTCCATCCTCCATTTGGCAGAACAGGACTCAAAATGCATCAGAGAGTCTTACAGTGTAAGTCCTGAAAAGATTTAAGTTAATATTTCCCTTGGCTAAAAGTGAATTTCTGTGTGTGCATAAGTGAGCATGTTTTTCATTATTTAGACTCTGAACCCTACATCACATTTCATATTTTTCAACTTTAGCACCCTCATGTATTTTCACTTGAGATCAATAGTGTAATCTTTGTGTTGTTCAATGAATGATTTTGGCATCTTGTTTAGTTAATCAACTCTTTACATTGTGCAGGGATTTGGAGAACAATTCTCTGGACAGTATTTCTGGCAGTTCTGACCTCCCTCAAAATGTCACTCTCTGGTTTGCTCCTGGCCTTTCTTCTGCTTTCACTTTAGTGGATTATATGTGTATTCGCTTTTATATCCATTTTCTTCGTCTGCAATTTAACATGCCATTGCATGTTTGCTTACTGAAAAGTGAAAACTCTGTTCTTTTTTTCTTTTCTTTTCTTTTCTTTTTTTCTGGACTCTTGGTTCTATACCTTTTAAGGCCTAAAGTGCTATACTTTTCTATATTTATAAATAAAAGTGAGGCCTAAAGTGAAACTGCACACTGAAGTTGAATATCTTCTTGTGTTTCAGGCTTAAAGGGAATCCAATATGCTTGAATGTGACAAATAGCAATTTAGTTCTGTTCTGCGGAACTAAAAGTGAGAATGAAACTATAATAAGCACTGCAACAAACTCCACCGCTAACTGTCTACCTGAATCGTGCCCTTATGAGTACTCCCCTACATCTCCTAGCACTTGCTATTGTGCTGAGCCTTTGCCTATAGGATATCGATTGAAAAGTCCTGGCTTTTCCGATTTTCGTCCATACATAAAAGCATTTGAGGTGTACCTGACTATAAGTCTAAATTTAAATGTTTATCAACTGTACATATATTCATTTGCATGGCAAGAAGGACCACGACTGGGAATGTACTTGAAGCTTTATCCTGTTTTTGATCCCACTATTAGCAGTACTTTTTTGTTCGATAAGACTGAAGTCAGCCGAATTAGGAGGAAGCTCACTGGATGGATGATCCCTGATAGTGACATATTTGGACCTTATGAACTTATAAACTTCACTTTGCCGGATGCCTACAAGGATGGTTTGTCTCAGAATCTTCATTGATTATATTTTTCACCCTTTTTAAAAAAAAAAAAAAAATTATATGAACTTATGGATCATGCAACCTTCTCCCCATGCCAGGCCTATATTCTCTCCTCTGTGGGTAATGCATAATTCTTCTTCTTTCTTTTGGCTAAACATAATTCTACAAAACTTGAAATTTCTTTCTTATTTGGTAATTTTGTGTTTGTCCTTTAAAATCCTTCAACTAAGAAAAGAAAATTTCAATAAGCTCTAAGTTCTAGATGTTTCACTTGACTCACGCATGCTGTTCTGTGTGCCACCTTTTTCCATGCACTTGGACATCCTTATAAGGAATATTTATTCATAACTTTCATTTTTTAATTATTATATTTTCAGATAATGTTGCAGAATTTGACACCCCTTCATTGGGGATGAGTTCAGGTGCATTGGCTGGCATCATACTGGGGGCCCTTGGTGGTGCAGCTGCAGTTACATTGTCTGCAATTGTTTCAGTTATTTTCTTGAGAAGGCGCCTGAGGAACTACCGTGCAGTTGCAAAACGACGTCAGGGTGAGTATCTTAAAATTCAGAAGATGGTATGTGCGAGGAGAATGAAAGTATTATATTTCCGTGTATTGTTTTCATTCATTTCCCAAGAGCTTGTCTATGCAGACTATAGTTTCCTTTCAGATATTATTCAAAAATTAATCTTGATGCTATTATGATATTTGTCTATGCATCTTTCTTTTGGGATCATTTTGGATTCAAGTCGCTGTAGTAGAACACTTTCTTTTATCCAAATGTTTCATAATCATCATCTCATAGACATTTTTTTGACGAGTCCTATACATTTTTCAGGGGAATAAAAGGAAAGGAATGAAACATCCCTATCATTAAATGTAAAAATATTAGAAGTTTGGTCCTTAAATGTTAAAAACTTAATAGTGGAGGTCTTGTACTGTTAAGAGAAGTTTAGGAACTGATTTCGTGTCAATGTTTACCGAACAAATGGCTTGGTAGACTAATGACATGTAGACTTGGCATGTGAGTGCACGGTGAGAGAAGTGCAGTATAGATTGAAAGTGGAATGCATTAAAATCCCACTAACTTTGGTCAGAATTATTATGCTGTTAGAAAGGTATGACCAAAACGAATTCCATTTTCTCTTCTGTTCTGGCACCAGATGAGCAAAACAGAAATAGAGAAAGAGTGTTGGCCTTGCAGCAATGGCAGCAACGGCAGCAACAAAACTGAGAGTTTTGGAGGAGTTTTGGGTCCAACCTCATTTAACCTGAGGTAAGTAACTTTTAAGCTTAATGAAATTAAGCTAGATTGAATTCTTTGAAGTTTAACCAGAAATTTAAGTATGGATTTTTAGATTTTATCTCTACACAAGAATTTAGAAACATACAAAGGAGGTGGACACTAACTGTTAATTTACCTTTGAAATGGTCTTGGTAACTTCTGCAGTTTCTGTGTTCTTGTGGGATTTCTCTGGTGAATTAATTGTTGGCAGAATGCATTATAAAGATGTGCTAGCTGCAGTTTCCCACATGACAATGCAGATTGGTGATTGTGTGTGAGTTGAAATAGCATTCATGTAATATGAAACCCAGTTGGACTGGGGAGTATTAAATCCCGTTGGACTGAGAATATGAAACCCAGTTGGACTGGGCGTGTGAAGAGATGTTATTAGGTCCTTTGTGAATCATGGAAATTATGGCTGGGCCATTTGTAAGGTGGGATGTACACCCACAGGAAATCCATGGAAGTAATTTGCATTCTCTTGAAAACATTTAGACATGCATAAAGTTACCTTAAGTTTAAAAGTGTTTCTATTGATAAAACAGAATCTGTCCTAATGTCTGGAAGATACGACAGGCTTCTAGTACAATTTTATCATCGAATGCACACGGAACCACATTGAATACTGCAGAGAACAGTTTCTGGTTTGACTGAATTGAATATTAATAGTTTGTTAGGCTATTTGTTACTTATTGAGTTTTACAGCTCATAGAAATATTGTTTTTCTCTGTTGTTACAGGTTAGTGTGTTATATAGCAGCTTATAAATACTTGGGAAGCGTAGGAGTACTTCAACCAGCCAAAGACACAGCTTGGCAGTTGAGTTGGTAATACAAACTTGTTTTATGGCCAAAACCTTGTCATGGTTCATGATTAGTTGTAGACAAGCAGGTCATCTAAAAGTTCTTTTGTGTACAAAACTTAGTTTTCTACTTGAAAAAGAGAACTGTACCTTTTGTTGACAATGTAAATATGTTGTTATGTGTAATTAAGCTCTGGGACTAGATCTAAATCAAGCCAAGCTTGTGGATTGTATGCATATAAAATCCACTTTGAAACTTATGATTATATGCTAGCTAGTTGCATTTTGAGCTTAAGAACGTTTTTTATAGATCAGTGAAATGATTTCTAGACTTAAGTTAAAGACTTGTCAACCCATGAATAGAAAATCTATTATGACACAAATTTTGGCTAGAATCTACAGTAGTGTCTGGAAACTACCTGTGTTGGGATGTTACAAAAAAGGGCACATGCTTTTTAACAGCTCTAAGTTATTTTTGTTTTAACATTTAGACATGTATTGTTTTAGAACGTCCAGTGCCTCATTAAAAATTGATGGTGTGAAGAGTTTCACATATGGAGAATATGCCTCAGCAACAAACAATTTTGATAGCTCTGCTCAAATTGGCCAAGGTGGGTGCGGAAAGGTCTATATAGGCACTCTGGCTGATGGCACTATTGTGGCCATAAAATGTGCACAAGAGGGGTTGTTACAGGGTGAAAAGGAGTTCCTAATTGAAATACGGTTGTTGTCAAGGTTACATCATCGGAACCTTGTTTCTTTGCTTGGTTATTGCGATGAAGAAGGTGAACAGGTACTTTTTCTCCTGTTGGGTAACTCATGTATAATGATTCTGGATCAACACAAATGGAATGGGGGCCCAAAAACACTTGATAGAGGGTGGAATATCATCTGGTTTGCAGTGGTCTGGACACTATGACTGGGTAGGAATGATAGGATTTTTAATGCAAAGGAAGCAAATGTAGACTGCTTTTTTCAACTAGTTCAAACTCGATCTTTTTAATGGGCAAAAAATATTGCAGGAATGGATGGGTTCTCTTTACAAGATTGGTGCGAAAACCCAACCAAATGTTTAAAGAGCAATGTCAACATGAAAGAAAGAGTTTGAACTAGACCCTTTTCCCAGGGACTTTAATTTGTTACATTTTTTCTGCAGAAGCCGGTGATTAAGAAAATCGTTTCACCTGCTAATGTATGTAAGCTATGGGTTGGAATAGCCCCAGTATTTAGGGCTTCGCTCCGACTAATCCGGACCCGACCCGCGTTGCGCACCTGAAAATGGTGGGTGAGTCTTTCAGCAGGGGCTGCTGCGTACACAAAGTCTCGAACTCGAGATCTTACTTAAGCTGGAACAACCCGCTTACCACTTGATCCAACCCCTCGTTGGTTAGTATTCCACATTTAATAAATTCTTTTGCTTTTCTAAATAAAAAAACAGGTACCTTTTCTCCTCTTTTTTTTTTTTTTTTAATTTTTTTTGAAGGAAAGGATAAAAAGGAAATGATGCAATCACATTGCTTATCATCTGGCAAAAAGCTTCACATCCATTACTGTCAACAGATGTTGGTGTATGAGTATATGGCCAACGGCACCCTGCGGGACCATCTTTTAGGTACACCTTGCATTCTTCAGTTGAATTTGCATTTTACGCTAGTAATCCAAAATTACTGTTTCCTTTCACCTCAAATTCTATATGCAAATATCGTGTCCTTAGTATAATGTTGCATGTCTATGGTACCACAGGAAAGACTAAAGAACCTCTGGGTTTTGCAATGAGGTTGAGAATTGCCATTGGTTCGTCCAGGGGAATCCTCTACCTACACACAGAAGCTGATCCTCCTATATTTAATCGGGATATCAAGGCCAGCAACATATTATTGGATTCCAAATTCATTGCCGAGGTTGCCGATTTTGGACTTTCAAGACTTGCTCCGGTTCCAGATATTGAAGGGGCAGCACCTGCTCATGTATCCACCGTTGTAAAGGGGACTCCTGTATGTTTGTCACTTAAAATGAAATTAGCAGCTATTGTATATATATTTTTTAAATATCTTCAGTGAAAGAGAAGGGACTCAAATTAGGTGACCCATGGGTAGATACAGTGTCACAATGTGCATGAGTTAACTGTAGCTGGCATCTCATTGTTTTATTGTGTATGTAGGGTTACCTTGATCCAGAGTACTTCCTAACACATAAGTTGACAGACAAGAGTGATGTATATAGCCTTGGTGTTGTGTTTCTAGAGCTTTTGACAGGGATGCAGCCAATCACCCATGGCAAAAACCTTGCTCGAGAGGTAATAGCCTTCCTTGTCCTTTGGTAGCTTTAAATTCTTGTGCGTGGAGCATGGCCTGGAAAAAGCGTTTAGTAATTAACTTATTAATTTAAACACACCAGGTTAATAGTGCACATCAATCTGGAATGATATTCTCGGTTATTGATGGAAGAATGGATTCTTATCCCTCCGAATGCGTGGAGAAGTTCGCAAATGTTGCCAAGATGAAACAGATTCAAGACCTTCAATGGCAGAGGTGGTCCGAACACTGGAAACCATAAGCCCTTGTTTGGATAGAAAATAGTAAAGGGAAGGGAATGGAGGAAAATAAAAGGACATGGAGGGGGAGGAAAGGAAAGGGAAGGGAAGAAAATAGAAAGAAATGATTTGTGTTAATTTTGTTTGGATAAATAAAAATAAGGAAGGGAAAGGGAAGGGAAGGATTGTATTATTTTATGTTTGAATAATTAAGGTAAAAGGAAGAGGAGGAAGGAAAATATTTAAATTAATTTTAAATTTATAAATTTATCCTTTAAACTTGTAATGGAGAAGGATATAATAAAAAAATTAAGGTTAATTTTGTAATTACATTTAATTTAATCTAAACAGTCACTCAAATCCCTCCCAAATCCCCCAAATCGGGCGGATTGCAAATCTGCAGATTTGAGGGTGGTTGGAGGAAGTCCGAATCAGTCCATCTCACTCCCCCTCTGTCTCTTTGAAAACCCAAACAAGAGGAAGGAAATAGCCTCCCCTCGCTCTCCCTCCCTTGCCATCCGTCCCCATCCCTTCCCCTCCCTCTCCATCCGACACCTCCAATCCAAACAATAGCTAAGGCTGATGATGCCGGTGTCTGAGACCTTTCTGGCAGAATCCATTGAAACTGATCCAGAAAAGATATCTAGCACTCCACCTTCGTCATCTTCATTTCTGCTGTAGGGATTTGAGCCTAGTTGTAAGTAGGTTAAATGTTAATTTTGGTCTTTCATCTTTATTAAGTTGCACTTTTTTGGTCTTCAAATTATTTTTTTTGTAGTTTTTGATCCCTCAACTTTAAGAACTATATAATTTTGGTATTTTCATCATTTGAGCCATTAACTCTGTACACGTGGCATTTTTTTATATTTTTTGATGACATGGACAATCCAACTGAAAAAAATGATGACATGAATAACTCAACCAAAAAAAAATGCTTACATGGTGATATTAAAACTTATATAATAATATTAAAAAGAAAAACATCCATTAATTTATATAATTAAAATTATTAATCATAATTAAACTCTTAACAAACCAACATAATCTTTTTGACTACACAAAAATCAAAATGAAATCTAACAACAAAACCAAAATCAAGATTTAATAAATTTTTTTCTTGCAAAATTCTTTATCAACACCGATGATTAACCCTACAACAAAACCAAATTAAAACCTTGAAAATTCATACTACTTCAATCTAGTTTAATGATCACATACTCACAAGAGAAATAGCCAAACCAAAACTATACATATAAAAAAGTACAAAAAATAGTTTAGAAACCATAAAAATGTAACTCGATAAAGTTGAGGGACCAAAATTAAATTTAACCTTTTAAGTACGGCTAATTAAGACTTTAGAATTCTTTATAAGCAGTATGGACTCCACAAGCCCTTGTTCTTTGTTAATCAACAACGAATATGGAAGTCTGGCTTGCAAGTTTTATTCTACTTATTTTTGTTAGTTGGTTTTCAATTTTTCATTTAGTTTATAATTTGTGGTTTTAGGATTTTGTTTAATTTGTAATTTTTTATTTTGTTAAAAATGTGATTCTGACTCGTTTTATTCAATGATGAGCACTTAATTTATGATTGTAATTGTGCTTCTATAAAAATATATACAGATACCAAACCTTTAAAAAAAATTAATAAGAGAAACTGTTAAAAAAGAATTCGATTTCGTAATATTTTCATTAAAATTTATTAAAATATTTTATTTTCAAAACAAAAAATGAGGTTATTTCAATTTTTGTTATAGTGCTTTAATTAAACCACATGATTTGGGTGTTTTTCTTCTAACTTTTTAGTTTATAAATTTTTTTTTTTACATTATTCTATAGGAGATTATAAAAGAAAAATATTTTTATGAATTATTTTATTCTATAATTTAAAAGGGTATTAATTATAAAATAAAAATTATTAAATAGTCAAACAACTATACATATAAAAAACTTACCCCGTTAAATAAATTATATTGTACAATTGTACTAGTAAAATATTAAAAAAAATAAAAAATCAAGGGGAAGGCCCAAAAGTTGGATGTGGAGCTGGGCCGGGTCAAACAAGACATGTGGGCTGAGTTTGGATGCATGAATGAGGCCCGTAAAGTCAAGATGATGAGGCAAGCACACACGTATGATAGGTGAGACGCTCGTGTCAAACAAGAAATGTGGGCTGAGTTCGAATTTTGGTTAAACGTCAATTTTAGTCCCCTAATTTTAAAATTTTGTATAGTTTTTATCCCTTAACTATTTTAAGTATTTTTTTAGTCTCTCAATTTTTAAAACTACACAATTTTGATCATTTCATCAGTTAAATATGATAAGTAAACTGTTAAAAGACTGCATATGGCATTTTTTAAAAGTTTTTTTGATGAGGTATCATTGACACAACCCAAGATTGATGTGGCTTTATTTTTATTCACATAAACTAATTGTATGTTGTGTCAACAACACCTCATAAAAAATTAAAGGGAAGTGCCATATGTAGTTTTTTTAACTGTTCACGTCACATTCAATTGCCGGAAGGATCAAAATTATAGTGTTAAGAATTGAGGGACTAAAAAAGCGTTTAAAATAATTAAAGGCTTAAAACTATGCAAGACCCTGAAATTGAGGGACTAAAATTGACATTTAACCTAGGGTTTTTCCATTCACCGTAGCTGTATATAAAGCAACCCAGGCTCGTCCTCTTCATCGAGTTCTAGGGTTTCACTTTTCCGCCACACCTTCGCTAATAACCATGGGCAGGAGTAAGTCTTTCCGATTTCTTATTTTTCCTTTGAAGATTGATGATTCTCGTCTTGTTTCTGCAATGATATCCAACTGATGTTTCTGCTCTAGCTGATTTCTACGGGTTCTGTGTCGTATATCTGTCTAATTTATATCCTTTTTTTTTTTCTTTGAATTTGTTCATCTCTTTCTCTTATTGTTTGTTCAATCCCTTAAAATAGTTTGATATTTTTTATATATATAATTGACGTCGGTGATAATAAAAAAAAAAAAAACGAAAACCGGAGATTAACCATGTTTAATGCGTATTATGTTTATCAGCTTATAAAAATTTCGCCCTACTTTGTAAGGATTTTAAGGTATCGTCTTTGTTGATGCCAGCATATCTGTTATTGTGCTATAACTAATGAATTGATCATTTCTTTTTTAATTTACCTTTCTTGCCTTACAAATTAGGCTTCAGTGGAAAGGGGCAACTAATAGATTTGTTTAGGTCTTCTGCTCTTGCTTGTGATTTTGAAGATGTGAATTTTTTGTAATGTATTATGGTTTTTGGGTTTGTAGGACCAGCTAGGTGTTACCGTCAGATCAAAAACAAGCCTTACCCAAAATCACGCTACTGCCGTGGTGTCCCTGACTCTAAGATTAGGATTTATGATGTTGGAATGAAGAAGAAAGGGGTGGATGAGTTCCCCTTCTGTGTCCATTTGGTTTCTTGGGAGAAAGAAAACGTTTCCAGTGAAGCACTTGAAGCTGCCCGAATTGCTTGCAACAAGTACATGGCAAAATATGCGGGAAAGGATGCCTTCCATTTGCGTGTCCGTGTTCACCCATTCCATGTCTTGCGTATCAACAAGATGCTTTCCTGTGCTGGAGCTGATAGGCTTCAGACGGGCATGAGAGGTGCTTTTGGTAAACCTCAGGGTACTTGTGCCCGAGTGGCAATTGGTCAGGTCCTCCTTTCTGTTCGATGCAAGGACAGCAACAGCCATCATGCACAGGAGGCCCTCCGCCGTGCAAAGTTCAAGTTCCCTGGTCGCCAAAAGATCATTGTCAGCAGGAAGTGGTATGTCATTCTTTGTGACCTCCTCGGAAGGTTTTATTTTAAGGTTGCTCTTTGCTCTACTCTGTGATCTATTATATTCACCCCTGCCTTGCCTTTTGTTCCTCAATATTCAGGGGTTTTACCAAGTTCAGTCGTACTGATTATTTGAAATACAAGTCAGAGAATCGAATTGTACCTGATGGTGTTAATGCTAAGGTTTGTGTTAGACTTGTGTCTTATTTGCATTGCTATGATGTATTTAGGTGCGGTTGCTTTTGATTGGTATTTGCATAGGAATTAATTGTATGATTTTCTCTACCGTTTTGTAGCTTCTTGGGCGCCATGGACCTTTGGCAGCTCGTGAACCAGGAAGAGCTTTTCTGTCCTCTGCCACTGCTTGAGGTCATCGGTGCTGGAGTCTTGGAGCATTCTTGAAGAAACCTAGCTATAACTTAGCGTTTTTGAGCATTTATGATTAATGTTACTGTTGGAACGTGGCACAGTTGTTGTGTTTAAGTACTTTTATCTGAATTTTGTGATATTGCTTGAATTTGTCTCTGGATTTGCATTTTTTTTTTAGCATTTTTGCGTGGATCTTCACTCCTAGTGATTATCAAGTTGTTAATTGCTGGTTGCTTCCTTAGCATATCGTTTAATTTATTTATTTTTTTAAATGAAGTAGATAAACCAAACTCTCCACCAAAAGAAAAAAGAAGTCGATAGACTAAACTAAGCCGGGATATGGAACCTTGTTTCATTCTCGAACATCTTTTATGACTCACGTACCATTGGTTGTTTAAAGTTAAGTCATAGATGGGTTTCTAGATTGATTTCTGCATTCAATTATAAAACCCTGGTCCTGTATTTGTATTGATGCTCTCAAACGCTAATATGCTTAGAATCGAAGATGAGAAGACTTTGGATGCTAATTGACCTTGCAATTGCTCTTTTCTTCGGCCAAAACCAAAAACCAAGAAGTAACAAAACTTTATCGCATTTTTCCTTTGTTTCTGTTAGCAACAGAAACAGTGCCTCACATTCTTCTTCTAAGCTTTCTCTCAGCCTTGGGTAGTTCCTCCTTGTTGGAGTTGGTAGCATCAGTTGATTTGTGTTTCTTGTTTTGTGATTTGGCTTCACCATCCAAAGCATTTTGTTGCCGAGGACCGGCTAAATCATTCTTCTCCTTGGAAACAACTTGCAGCTGCTTTGATTCTGATTCAAGCTTCATCTTTACCCTTGTTTTCTTTTTCACAGTCACACAACTTGGAGCTTCATGTTCCTGACTTGAAGAAATTGACGATGCCCTGATTATGTAAATCTGTAGTGGTACCATCACATTCATTAGTTTATTCTGGCCTGCTCTGTCAATGAATTAGCAGCTGAAGAAAGAAAATTGTGCAAAGGAATGAAAAATAAAATCTGTAGTATTAAGGAAGGAGAATGATATCTCAAGTAAAGGTCATGCCCTTTGTTGGGGGTGAGGGGGGGTAAATGCTTGGCAATTCACAAACAATGATCAACAATACAGTATGTATGAAATAATTGAGCTTACTTTAAATCTTGCTGGATCAACCAATTCAAAAACCAGTGCATCACCGTCATCCAACTTGTGATGAAGTGCAAAAGCTCTCCAGCCACCACTGAGCCCTGCTCTTTTTCCAATGTAGACAGCACCAAATTCTGCTCCATTTTCATCCTCTAACACCATATCCACTTGTGCTTTTGAAAGATAGTCCTCACAGAATTTGGAAGGCAGCCCCTGATTCATTCAGCATATGTTAGCAGCAGCTGGTATTCTGCATTTGCCTCTTGACTTAAAACATATATGGTAATGGGTAAATTAATTTGACAAAACTAGGCCAAATTAGAGAAATATTCAGATTCCTAATTCATAATCCTACAAAACAGTTACTTACCAGCCAAAAACAGCTGTAAACATGAGATCTAACCATTGATTTGACAAAAGATGGATTTCCAGATTGCAAACTATTTTGGAGTTCCTCTGCAACTTTAAGAGCCCGAACCCTGTCTTCATAAGAAGCAGTCTTGATTTCATCCAATGGCCTTGCAATGTAGCTGCAAAATCATGCAATGGCATTATAAATAACTAAAAAAAAAATCCAAAATCAAGCATGGAAAGGTAACATCAAATCAAATGAACTTCAATTCCAACCTTGTCCAAGAGGATGAAGTCGACCTTGACCTCTTCCGCAAAGATGGAAGGTCTATATCCACCTGTATTGAAAATTGAAAATTGAAAACAAGTTATCTGCTCATGTGACAGTAGTGAGCAATGCCCCAAAATCCAACAAACAAAGATATATCAACAAAAACCATTCATTATTATTGTTAGTACAAATTCACTCCCATTTACAGCTGAAAAAGGAAATTATACTTACATCATCACGGTATGAAGGAACGGGGTTACGTGCACGAGAAGAGCGCCTAGGCTCCAGCGTATAGCTAGTCTTGGCCTTGGGTTTTGAATTTGATACACGCTGCTGGAGTGGAGAATAATCCACAGTAATTAAGAGAAGGAAGTTGCAAAACAAATATTAAAGAAAAAAAAATCAATTTACCTGTGACTTA